CAAATCTTGAAGTGGGCTAACTGAAGTGGGAAGGGGCTCATATATGGTGTCTTATCTGGGGTTCGAAAAAGATCATCAGTTTCAAAAATATGATGATATACGTATGGTGGTATTTAGGTTATGATACGCCAATGGATGAAATGGCGAAAACCACTCTTTCAACTGCAGCCATTTTGTTTTCAGCTCTCTTCCCACTCAGCATTATAAAAAAGACAAATGATAATCCTGAATGAACGCCAGTGTCTATATATCGTCGACAACCTCCGCTCTTGATAAATATTTGGCGCCAAATACACTTGCACCATATACAAAAGACTTACTCTTGCCGCCGTCTAATCATTCCCCATTGAGAAAAACTCCAGCGTAGTCCCATTTCTCGTCCATTTATGAAATGAAATTGACAGAAAAACATATCGAAAAAACAAGCTTTATGAAGTCTTATTTTTTAAAGGCAACTAAAAACAAACGCATGCTTATTATATTGCGGTGAGTGCAAGTCTTACTCGACACTACTCGGATGGGGAAGAAAACAATTTTATTAAAAAAGGAAAGTGACTTTCTACCTCAATATCTTTATTATGAAACTGCAGAGATTTTTGTAGGTAGAGTAGCACAGCTCGCGAGATGTAACCTCATGATTAATTCAGCGCTAGATTTCTATGTAAAACAACTCCTCGTATACATTTCTTGCTTGGCATCGCGTAGCAGAGACAAACGCCCTATTCGTGCCTCTATTTGAAGCCAGAGCATGTCCGCGCCGATTGCAGTTGCACTCTTCGTACCTGGATAGAGTTGGGAAAATATTCGAATACGTTTTTTACTTGGCAAGGCGTAGCAAAGACCAAAGCTTGTCCGTGCGGATTGCAGTTGCACTCTCGGTACACCTGGCTAGAAATGGGAACGAATGAACACTAGCATCAAATAACACTCTAAATAAATTTCTTGCTTTGCATGCTGTAGTAAATAGACAAACGCCCTGTTCGCGCCTCCATTTGAGGCCAGCATGTCCGGGCTGATTACAGTTGCACTCTTTGGACCTGGCTAGAGATGTGAACGAACGACTGTTAGTATCAGAGAATATTCAGATACGCGCCTTGCTTGGCAGGTACCAGAGACTTGGCCAGTTACGGAGGCGAATAAATACTTGTAGAGAAAATATTCGAATAATAATGCTTGGCATCTGCTGCGATAAACGTTCTGTGCGTGCCTATATTTCAGATCAAAACATGTTTGCGCGGATGGCACTCACACTCTCTGTGACTGGCTAGTGATGTAAACTAATGAATACTGGCGGAAAGAATATTCAAATGCCCGCCTTGCTTGATATGTGCTCAGGCAACCGTCCTGTCCATACCTCTATTTCTGATCAAATGATGTTTTCGCGGATTACAGTTACACTTTCTGTACCTGGCTAGTAATGGAACGGATGAATACTTGTACAAAAAATATTCGAATACGCGCCTTGCTGGGCATGTGCTGAGCAGACAAACGTCTTTTCCGTAACTTCATTTCAGGTCAAAGTATACAGGGTGACTTCGAAGTTGAGTCATTTATTATAACAGTGAGTAGATCTGATCAAAAGAAATGTTTTTTTCCATTACCATTTTTCTGGTAAAATTAAAGTAACAAAGTTATAGCCCTTTGGAAGTTTGAGTACCGCCCTGTCTCAATAATAATATTATGTGCTCGTGTTTGGCAACAACGGATAAAATCCGCCTTATCGGTTCATCGCATCGGAAACAAAAAAGCGAAAGAATTTGGAACGATGTTTTTACAATTATTTTATTCAGTTGTATACAGTCAGTGTCAGTCGGTAACGCGTGAGTGAATAGTGGTGTCTGTTGCGCGGCTCAAACGAAATAAAAAATGGCACATGTTTATGCGGATCGGTTTCCCAATCGAATGCAACCAACCCCTCGTGCCTTTGTTAATGTAGTACAACGGGCTCGTGAATCAGGTGACTTAAGACCTCACAGAGGACGGCATGCCGGTGCTCCAAGACCTCACGATCAAATACAGGTCCGCACTGAAATACTTGTCGGGAGGATACTTTATAAAACAAGGTAACATTTTTTTTTAATTTTTTTTTTATTTTTACACACATATTTTGGTTTATCTTCCTTCTACAATCTATATCTGAAAATTAATGACTCAACTTCAAAGTCACCCTGTATTTACGGGGATTGCAGTTGCACTTTCCGTACCTGGCTAGTGATGGGAGCTAATAAATGCTAGTACAAGGAATATTCGAATACGCACCTTGCTTGGCATGCGCCAACCAGACATACGCCCTTTCCGTAACTTCATTTCAGGTCAAAGCATGTTTACACGGGTTGCAGTTGTACTCTCTATACCAGGCTAGTGATGGGAGCTAATGAATGCTAGTACAAAAAATTTTCAAATACTCTTCTTGCTTGACATGCGCAGAGACAAACGTCCTCTCCATGCCTCCGCTTCAGGTCAAAGCATGTTTTTGTGGATTGTAGTTGCACTCTATGTACCTGGGTAGTGATGGGAGCGAATGAATACTTCTACAAGGAATATTCGAATACGCACGTACAAGAACAAGAGCCCTGCTCGTGCCTACATTTAAGGCCAAAGGATGTTAGCGCGTTACTTTGGATTAGGATTTCTGATGGCCGCTTTTTCCAAATAGTTTCGTCTACTTTGGAGGTTAATATGAACTTAGGAGGTAATAATGATGTGAAGATTTATTCGGAGAGAGCCGTTTAAACGTATAACAGGAGGTAATTGACTCAAATAACGCCATGTCCCTAATAACGCCAGAAGCTAGCATTCAGAAATCCCAATGCAATTCAAAAACTATGTCATTTAGATTGGTAGGTTTCTATCCAGGAAATCAACGGAAGATAAAAGACTTCTTCCTGAATTCAACAGATGTCGCCACATGCATTGCCAGCATTTACCAACAACAATGTTATTGGCGGTAAAGTCTTTGTTGCAAGAATTTTGTTGTTTAATCATTGCGTAAATTATATTTTTGATATCGACGTTATTTTTGATGTTTAGTTTAGATCTATTTTATAGTTTGAATCTTCCGATGGTGATAAATTAGAAAAAAAGAAAAGCTAGACCCAAGGTGTTATGGAAGCCAATGAAATTCACCAAAAGAATTGGAGATTTTTTAAATTTTCCCAGTTCGTCAGAATAAGCTGATTACTTGAAAATAATCTTGATAGAAAGGAAAATGAGGTACAAAACATCATGGAAGGCATCAAGATCAATCCGAAATAAGGAGCGAATAAAATTAAATTTCGTGAAGAAAGCAGGAGGGAATTTGGTACAGAAAAAAGAGTACCGAAGTAAACGTTAAAACAAAGCAACAAAAAAAAAACAAAAGTCGACGCAAGCAATAATAACAGAAAAAGCAAAGATCAAAGAGGGATACAAAATGATGAAAATAACCAAAGCTAGACTGATTTTTTTCCAACTCCTGATATTGAAGCAACGACAAGTGTGAAAAAGCGCAAAGCAATTGACTCAACGGCACACGTTTTTGTCAGAGATTTGTTCTATACATCTACTGAAAAAATCAGTTCGAAGAAAAAAATAAAAGTTTCAGTCCAAGAGAATTGGTGTCATACGTAACCGCTATGTTCACGAAGAGTGTGTAGGTTTACCGAAGAATGATAAAATTTCATTTGTTTCCATTAATTGTGAGGCTCAATAAACTTTACATAAAAGCTTACGTTAACACTCACTATTTTCTACTTTTATATACTTTTTAAATAAAATCATAGTTGGCGTTTTTTGGGACAAGGTGTTTCTAAAAGCCCCAACTGCAATGTATAACAAAAAAACGAAAATTTGTTTGTTTGAATTGCCATAAGAAGCCATGGTACTATATTTTTCATTCTAATATATGTAGAGATAATAATTACCAAGATAAATAGAGCTTTAAAGGTTATTTATGAAGCTATGCAAAACCAAACGTTAATATTTCGTTATTTGGGTCAAGTACCTAGTTCTATGTTTTCTCAATATATAGCTTGACTTGCCTATTCACCCACCTCCCAAATGCCACTGTGAGCATGTATCACAAATCCTGATTGACCCATATTCCGGGCAAGCCTCGGCTGACCCGCTCGCGATCCCGTACCGACTGAGTTCTCATGACCTCGAATCCGCCTCCGCGCTGTACAGTTATTTATCTACTGGCATTATAGAAAGGGTCTCATCAGCCGGTATAGCTCACGACTTAATTAATCGAACGACAATAAGGAAAGACATAGTGCACCACGAAAAAATGTCAGCTCCGGGCAGAAGACAACAGATGCTTTGTTGAGGTACATCGGCATTGTCTCGGTGGCCTAGATTGGATAGCGCCCAATAAGGCAAGACGGAAATGACATTACACCCTATTTCACATGAATCAATCAATCTGCTACGTGGTATTGTGTAATAGGCACTATCATATGGCTATGTTGCTCTAGGTCATGCTGACCTACTGGTTGTAGTTTGGCTTAAAGGCATACATTTTAAACTTGAAGTGATGCTAAGCGTTATCTATTCTGTTAAAACGCGGTACTTAGTTATAATGCTATATCATATCGTCTTTAAACTCACTCAAAGAATATGGAAAAGCTAGAAAGTGAATCAAGTTAGACTCAATCACTAATGTTAAATCTATTGTTGTTGTTAACAGTTAGTTAGCATAAGAAAAACACTAATTAACAATCCACTTATAACGAAAAGAACATCGAAAAATGAACATTTTTGTGCACATACTGCTACTCTACACAGATCTGAATAAATTATTAAAAAAAATATAGCTGAAACGTGGTAAGCTCATGTTTTTAAATTTTCTGTCCTAAGAATTGTATGAAAAATTATACGTGTATAAGAAACTTCGTTGAAACAAAGATGTTGTATGGCTAGGAATTCAGATAACGTGCCTGTCCCTAATGTACCCATCATATATAGTGTTATTGAAAATTATTTTTTCATACACGTACTCTCTCTTAAAATTATTTAGATAAATGTCGAAGGTAACTAACTAAGCTTCAACTGAATACTATGTTTACTGACCTGATCCAGACAAGTAAAATTTCAGACACCTCAGTAGTTCAAGACAGACATAGACAAGGTCCTGCAAAGTCGTTTCCTGATTGTGAAGTTTAGCCGATATATATTTGATTAAAGGCTGCGTTAACGTGCATAGGTTTTATGAGCCAGATTCTTTACATGCTCAGTAAACTCAGTTAGATATCAAATTCTACACCTAATATTTTAGAACTATTGGTGCACTGGAGCTGCTTACTGTTTCTCCTGCTATCAGAACAAAATAAATTCTTATATTTTCCCAGGCAGGATATTTGCATATCATCTTGCAATACTGGAAAGGTGCCTTGTATGTCATCGATACGGTAACAGAGGTTGAGCTGGGTGTCATCAGCGAGCGACTGAATATCTGAGTTGTGAACTGATCTAGATGAGTCAAAGGCATAAATTACGGCTCGCGCAGGCAGACAAGCGCTCAGCGTACAGTCCGCGTTCGAAAAGTCTATTAAGGAAAATAGATACCGGGTGCATCCGATTAATTGTGAGAGAGATGAAAAAAGAGAGTTCGCTGTACTTTTTCCTGCACTGCTTGAAGATGAAGAATGATTTGTATTCATTGACTTGTTTTAATGAACTGCATAATTATATAAAAAGAAAGTAGAGAAACAAGACACCAACTGGAGAAAGGCTATATCTAAAAAAAAAAGATTAGCAGTTTTTTCCCATTTCCGTGGGTATTTCAGGCCATACTGATTTTTTTTCTAACTATTTTTACAGTCTGCGTTACTAGGATCATATAAAAAACGCATTTCCCTTACTAAATCAATTAATTTTTCTGTGGATGCCATCTTTGTATTTCTGACAATAGAACGCAAGAACGCGAGCAGTCTGACTGCCGCTGTGTCTGCGTGACTTTATAGAGATCTATTAGTTTCAAAGAACGTGGAACCCAGAGCTCGGAACGCTTTCTGTCTGCGCGAGCTCTTAAGATCAAAAGAGGTCCTTCTGGAGGTATGAAGGCGGCATCAGATATACCTTACAATCAAACTCATTGAGTCCAGTTTTTAGGATAGTTTAAAAAGAATTTGATTACAACATCACACTCAAAAACATAGCTTAGCACATAAAAGTTTATACTCTATCTTGTCGAAGGCTTTAGAGCAGTCGATCGATATCAAAGCTGAACCCATCTTTTTGTCAAGAGCACGAAAGGTGTCATCGCATAGGTTTAAAAAATCTGATGTATTGTGAAGGTTTTCTAAATCGCTATTAATTAGGTGGAATTCTCTGATGTTCTTCAATGTATGATGTGAGTCAAAGTTGAACAACCCTTTCATGAATTTTTGATAAAATAGATAGTTGACCAATCGGTCAGAGATCTGATGAGTTACGGGGTTTCAAGGTTTTTGCTATAGGTACTCGTATTATCAGTGCTTGCCTCCAGATTTTAGGGAAGTACCCAGTTTCAAAACAGAGATTGATAGTGTGAACTAAGTGGAAAGTCAAAGTTGAACATTTTCATGAATTTTTGATAAAATGGACAGTTGACCAATCGGTCGGAGATCTGATGAGTTACGGGGTTTCAAGGGTTTTTGCTATAGGTACTCGTATTATCAGTGCTTGCCTCCAGATTTTAGGGAAGTACCCAGTTTCAAAACAGATATTGAAAGTGTGAACTAAGTGGAAAAATATACCAGGTCGGCTGACCTTCACCATAGTTGACCTAAGACCATCTATTCCTTTAGTATTTGATTTAATAAAATTAATTATATCTTAGCATTCATTGAATTTTGCGGGTCTGTAACTTTGAAAAACTAAATAGCAGTCCAAGTATGGATATTCTCACTGAAGCCTTCGAACGAGATGGAAGCATCGATCGCAGCCTTGATGACAACATGATGTGTGTCGGTTTTCGTGGCCCGCTTAGTTTTTCCGCAGGTTATTTGCAACACGCCGTTAACGTTATCCGCAAACGCGCGATAAGCGCGGTTTTACGAAGCATTCCGACCTCACTGCCAGAGTGATGCTATTTCCTCTCTTGGAAGCTATCCCGTTGCCCATTTCGGCACATATTTCCGCTTCCGTTACAGCAGCGATGACCTGCCCTACATGTACACACAGGTGCAACACACATAAGCCGATGTCTAGGTACAACGAACGTTATTCACAAGTAAACTAAAAAACATTGCTTTAGGTAATTATGGTGCAAGGTGATTTGAACATTTTCTGGACTCGACATCAAAAAAGATCAATTGATCTCTAGAAAAACAAAATATATTTATTGTTCAATATAATCTCCTTTAAGTTCGTGTCTGTCCCAAAACTGATAAAATATTGAACCGTGCTTCCTTCTATGTCCATTTGTCAATTGGTGACTGTTTGAACCAGCAAGGTTAGGGCGAACATTAAAAAGCCCCGGGACAGCCAAAAACTCCAATTTTCTGCTTCGCAAGGTTGTGGTGATTTTTGGGCACAGTCAAAAAAAATTCGTGGACGCGAAAAGTGTTTGGCTTTCTGATCCTGCAAAGCTTACGGAAAATAGCCATACAATGCTGGCTTTCTATATATAGGTACATAAATTATTTGGATAAGGGATTGAGCTCGAAACAAACTTATTTTAAACAATAATTTTTGCAAAAAATTAACCCTGCCACTATCTCTAGTTCTTGATATTTGCAGCAGAACGGCGACGGTGGCAGAAACGTTTTTTTTAAGAACGCACGTTATTATCCTAGCGCATCTGTGTTATGACACAACCATGATATGATCAACAGTTAAACTGTCAACATGCCGTTGTCTAGTTAAGCTTGCCTAGTAAAAGTGAAGACTTTTCTGGGGTATATTCCAGTGTTATTTCAAATCAAACTTTCCAGTTTAAGGATTTGCTGTTAATTAAACCCAAGCGTTCTCTAAGCTTAGAAGCCAACAAAGGAACTGTTCGTAAAACAGCTTTGAGATAAGGTAATTTTAATTTTGTTTTATACATAAAAACGATGTGACAGCTAGCTAAGCTAGTATCAGTTATAGAACTTATTCTCAATCATTCCGTAATTTTTTTTTGATGACCGCATCTTATACAATGAACGAAACTTTTTTTTGGAAACAAATCTTTATTCCACAATTTTTACAAATTTTATAAAAAACAAAGTTCTCTAATCTGCGTTTAAGGCACTGGCCTAAGAACAGCAATATTTAAAATCCTAATTTTAGCTACAATAAATTCAACAATTCAAGTGACTTTTGAGTGTTTTTACATAATTTCTGAATATATATGTACATTTTTACACTATTTGGTAGGTTACTATAAGTTTTTAATGCATCAGTGACAGGTTTATTTTATCCTATATTAGTTCTAGTAGGAATCTGGTACAAATTATTGTGTGACCTTGTTTCATGGTCATGCACGTCATGTGTGATCAAAATTTTTGTATTACACTTTTGTTGGTTATTTAGAATTCTGAAAATCATTTTACATTGTTCTAATTCCAACAGCTTATCTAGCTTACAAACATGCAATTCTGTGCACATATTATCCGTGTTGGCAAGTTGAACAAAATTCTTCATAGTCTACTTTGCGAAACTTGTGCTTCCTGAAACTCAGTTTTACTACTCATTCTCCAAATAGGTAACACACATCTAAAGTCTGTCAAGAAAAATGCATTATAAATGATTATTTTACTTTTTATAGCTAAGTACTATAAATTTGCTTTAGTATAAAGCAGCCTGTCGTCGACGTTGTTTTATAAAAAAAAATTATTTATTGACTAGACCAATTCAAATTCTCATCGATAATTAAACCCATTTGATGCTTGATACTTTTTCTACTGTAACATTATTTATTTGTATACAAGAGTTTTCAATTATTTTAGTCCTTTGTTTAGAAATTACAAATTTTGTTTTATCGATGTTGATCTTTAGTTTATTCGAATACAGCGATTTACAGTAAAGAGTAAGATCTAAATTAACTTCGTCAAGCAGAGTCTGCTCATTATTTCCTTTATATAGGAGAACTGTAACGTCAGCAAAAGTAAGATGTCTTGCATTGAGATTAGCGCTCTTTAGATTTAAAATATATAGTGAATACAATAGTGACCCCAAGACGAACCCCTGGAGGATACCGTAGTCACTATATACCCACTCACTATTTGTTTACCCGATTTTCACATATTGTTTCCTGTTAAGTGAATAAGTTTTACTCAAATTATACATAGGACCCCTAAATCCCATATTTGGTAACTTATTCAATAATATATAGATCTGTCCCATCAGATGCATTTCTTAAATCTGTAAACACCCCTATAACCACTTGTTTTTCATCCAAAGCCCTTCAAAACGTAATTTACAAAATCAACTGCAAGCGTACTACTATTTTTTATGAACCCATACTGGTAACTGTCAGCTAATGTATTTTCATCTATAAACAAATCATTCTTGATAATTTTTATTCATAGAGTCTTTATCAACTGATTTATAAATACATTTCCAAGTTCTATCTAATTATATTGTTAATTAATTTCACTACTATTTCTACAATATAACGTCTAAAGCTACCTGACTGAAATGGCATCATGCTGAATTTATTTTCAATTCCAGTATGGTTTCATTCACCTTTTGTTTATCAGCAAGGTCTATCAAAACTGTGTTATGCATATAAAGTTCCTTTTTTCAATATTTGCACCTGATGCCCTGATTTCATTTTCTCTTTATGTTGCAACAGAACATTGAGAAATATCTATTTAAATTATTTACTACATCTATCCCATCATGCACGAGAATGTTTCCAATCTGCAGACAATCAATGACTGTTTTCTTTTTAAAGAAACTATTTATAAACGTCCATTGCTTTTTGAAATTCCTGTTCTTTCCTTTATTTTATTGCAATTTTTTTTTTTTTTAATTCCGCAACTAGATTCGAAGTTTGTGGTTGTGTGGACCTTTGTCTTTGTCCATTTTATCCATCATTTCAAGTATTTCTTCATCTATCCCTCTATTAAATTCACGTAATCTCAATAATCTTTTATCTCGGAATTGTCCTTAAATTCATGAATTATATCAATCAGGTGCTGAAATGGAGTAATATTCACTGTTTGTACCTTCTGTTGAACAAGATATTGAAATCGCTTATAATCTGCAGATTTTATTTCAAAATCTACCTTTGGTGTATAGATTTTAATGCTATCTTTAACACATTAACTGTCCATATGCAAATTAGTAACTCCACCCATACGTCCACCATTAAATATGGCATGCTCCATATGTGGTTCATGGGACGTTATCCTAATATTGAGATTATGATAACGTCCCATGCGCCTCATATGGCTCATGCGCATTAGACCAAAAAGTAAAAAGAAGACGATTTTAACTTAACCTCAAATTATTTATTTACTTGGTGAACCTAGTAGTTTTCTTAGTGAACTAAAAATGTCTGAAAATAGAAAAAACTCACCGATAAGGAGCTAGAGTATTATGCAAACCACTTATCAGAAATAAGTGATGGATCAGTGGATTTCGATTCCGATGATAGCATTGCCGATCCAGACTTTTGCAGCGGCAGTGAAATTTCGAGTGAGCAGTCTGAGAGAGATCAGGAGATTGATTCAGATAGTGATGATATTGGGTTTGCCGAGTTCATTCATCAGAATGAAGAAGATTTGAGCTTATTTTGGTCGGATTGTGTTTTGCAGTTTAAAAAATTTCAGTTCATAGGAACCCAAGGAACATTAATTCCAATTGAAGGCAAAGATGTACGAGATATATATAGGTTATTTCTGACAGATGAAATAATACAACTTATGGTCCAGCAAACCAATGTGCGTGCACGTGAAATAATAGCAAATAAGAAACCACGAACATCTTCCCGCTTTTCCAGATGGCATGACACCAATGAAGATGAAATGGAATTGTTTATTGGTGAGTGAATACTATGTATTTTGGTTTACATCAACAATGTAATATTTTGGGTTTTTTTGACTTGAATTAGCGGTCTCTGGTTCATAACGTCTATGTGTATGTTTGACCGCCTTACAATATGTTTGACTGCCTTACAATAGCCCCTACACCGATAAACAAAAAGCTTCTTTTTTACAGTTTCATTAAAATTTGCTTACAAAGATTGTGATCTTTTACGAACATATTGTTTTATATAGCCTAATTTTACGTTTATTTTGTTTGTAATTTCTTTGTTTTTCTTTTCAGGAATCATCATGCTAATGGGAGTTATCAATTTTCCAACCATTGAGAGCTAGTGGAAAAAAGATCCAATTTATTATCACGAAATATTTCACAAAATACCAATCAGCTACAATCGATTTACACTACTCCTCAAATGCTGGCATTTTCAGGACAATACACTTCCGTCCACCAGTAGGCTGGATAAAATAAATCCAATATTGAGCATCATTCAAAACAACATAAAAACTGTTTATTGTCCTGGTGATACTGTGGTGGTAGATGAAACAATGGTGCCTTTTCGCGGACGTCTAAAATTCAGACAATATAATCCTTCCAAAGCTCGCTGCTCTTATGGAATCAAGTTGTACAAGGTATTTACTCCAAATGGGTATACCTGGCATCTAAAAATATATGACGGTGTATCAACCGCCATTGATGGGCTTGATTTACCAGGAAGCACTGTAGTGGAATTAGTGAGACCTCTTTTAAATGAAGGCAGAATGGTAATTACTGATAACTACTACACTAGCCTGCAACTTGCAAAATATCTCTATGATCGAAACACCCACCTATTGGGAACATTACGCAAAAATAGGCGTGGTCTGCCAGAAGAAGTAATTATACACAAATTACGCAAGGGCGAAATAATCTCAAGACAAAATGGCTGTATTACTGTTTCAAAATGGAAAGACCAGCGTGACGTTCTTTTTCTCTCAACTGTTCATGATGATGAAATGAAAACTTGTGGAAAAAAAAGAAATGGCGAAGATAAGATTAAACCTTCTGCCATTTTGGACTACAATAAAGGAAAACAAGGGGTGGATATATCTGATCAGTTTGCCAGCTACTATACTTGTCTGAGAAAGTCATTGACATGGTATAAAAAACTCGCCATAGAGATTATTTGTGGAACACTCGTTGTAAACACTCTGATTATATATAATGAACAACGTCCAAAAAAAGAACAAGTATCTCTTTTGCAAATGAGACAATCCCTAATAAGCGAGATGTTAAAAAGAAAATCTAATAACGATGGCGGTTCTGGAGGCAAGACCAAAAAAACTATTCACATACTGGAAGAACTGCCTAGAGATAATAACAAACTCTACAGAAAGCGTTGCCACGGATGCTATGGGAAACTGCGCGGAAACCATTCGGCATCAGAATCTGCAAAAAAAGCTAAGAGGGTCAACACTATCAGCAAATCCTGCAATCAAGCATTTTGCGTGCCTTGCTTTGGAGAAAACCATTAGATATATGTTAGTAATGTACGTTTTTACCTATTAAACCGGAAAAAATAAAAAGTTTATAAAATCTTTATTTTTCATTCGATTTTAATAATTTTTTCTTTAAAGTGTCGAGTAAGGAATACTCTAACGCCCACATACAAAAAATGTGTGCGTACTACCACGTCCAACTTATAAAAGTTGTATGAATTTATGTACCACATAGGGCTCATGGACGCATGGAGAATATGGTCCATGAGCCATTGGCTCATTGGACAGTCAATGTGTTAATATTCACTAACAGTAGCCTATGGTCCGACCGGGCGGTTTCCTTAACACTTACATTATGATCTATCTTTCTACCACGATCACTGAGAACATGTGCTACAAGAAACTTGAATCCGTGGTTCGAATAGCATGTTCTTCACAAAGTTAGTTGCTTATTTTAAAGTTGTTTACTGTTAACAAATTTTTGTAGTCAAAAGTCGTTAGAGAATCTTTTAACATGTTTATGTTCAACCTTCTATTATTATCCTGGATAAAGCAATTAGCCGATGTTATCAAGATATCAGGAGGGTTTTTATTAGATAAGTCTAACACATGAGGTTTTTCGTCTAGTTTTGTAATTACACTTGAACCCAAAACACTATTGACAGATTAGTGAAAAAAAATAAAACAGACAATATTTTTCACGTTTTAGCATGTAAGTGTAAGTAACTTATAAACTTCTCTCTTGTTCTTATCTATTTCTTACCCTACGACTTTTGTAATATACAGGTACCTATATCATATAAATATGCCCTCATATATCCTATTCCATATCGTACCGACAAATCCGAATGCCGTAGTGTAGGATTCCTTGCATAATGTACAAATCAAAGCACTGTATGCTTTAACTTATCCGTAGGTGTAATGACTATATTTTCAGGGGGCCATTTACGACCAGCGTTTGCATAAAAATATACAATGGTACGGACAGTGTCCAAGAAGAAAAAATTGATGTGTTCCCCATCCTTTGTCTCATATGATATTCGCATCCAAATAAAGAGAAACTCACCTAAATCGTAACAAAACTCATCCAAACTTTCTGCACAAGTAGAACAATAACCATCAGTTATCACCGCACTAACATCACACATCATTCACCCGAAGCACCATTTACGATGTCAAATGCCCGTCGATCTCCCGCGAAATATTCCGACGATCTTCGAAGGTGCATACACACGCACTCTCACCAAATACCGGAATACGACTGAACGAAAAGCCGAATGGCATCCATGGATGCGCCGGGCGCTTCCCCCTCCACAAAGACTTGCCGCGCGCCAGCACCCGAACTGTGTAATGTCCTTTACCTGCACGATAGCTGATTGGTTTATGACAGGAAGGTGAGTACCGGAAGCACAATGGGAAGGTGTACATGTGTAAATAAGTGGTTTTATTTGGACTTGGTGTCCGTTGATATGGCGTTTGGGCGGTACTTAAGCTAAGCGCTTAGCACTTAATTTCTCTGCTTACTGAGGTCATTTTCCAAAAGGAAAAAATTAAGATCAAAGTTGAAGTCTGGACCAAAGGCACAAAATATAAGATTTAATACAAATAGAAAATTTTTACTAAATCGTGATTTAACAAAATGAAACCTGGAACTATTTAAGGAGGCACCGACCTTTAAGGACAATGATTACAAATTTCTGTGGATTAGCAGTGGTAAGATGTTGAGAAAACCGGAACAACAAAATTATAGGGGGAATCCGGGTGACTTGCCCAGCTGAGAGTCTTGCCCCTCCGTGATATATTTACTTAAAAATTGCGCACCATAATCTGAAACGAGCGAAAACAAGACGCTCTCTAGTGCTTCTAGGCGTCTACGAAATCCTAGTTGATTTTTCTCAGTTTGTTTTGTATCTGACCCGAGGCATGTGGCTTTTTGCGTTTAAACCAAAAATTAATACTTTTACAAATTTCGTGATTTTGTCGGCAAATTAAACGGTAAGTTTTAGATTCTTGTGTGGGTATATTAATTAGACATTGTATATGTATGCACCATAAATGTTAAACGTGCACTACAGAGGGGCAACTCTCCCTTTCTGATGTAATTCTAAATTGGTATTTGTTTTTAATTAATTTTAGTAAAAGTTAATGCATTTTTTTTATTACAGGTCTGTACAATGCCTTTTTAATACAACACAAAAGACGGTTCCACTCGCAAAAAACTTGATAAGCATGTTCTTAAAATGCACTAGATGAACTAGCCAAAGGTACTTCTCTTCGAAAAACTTCTGCAAAATATGATATTGATCGGAGGACTTTGAGACGCTACAAAAACAATGAAAATAAACTTGAAAAAATAGAAACTAAAGGACAGTATAATACTTCACAAATATTCACCATACAAGAAGAGAAGCTTCTGGTTGAATATTTTTTAAATTTCAGCAAAATGTACTATGGACTTACTCGAAAACGAGGCATGAAATTAGCTTTTGAGTTTGCAGTTTAAAATTCCAAAAAAATTCCAGAAAGTTGATCAAAAAATAATATGGCAGGGAAGGATTGGATTCGCGGTTTTTTATCAAGAAATCCCGAAATTAGTTTAAGAACTCCGGAGGCAACAAGCTTGTCACCATCTACAAGCCTCAATCGGAAGAATGTAAACGATTTTTTTCAAAATTTAAAGATTGTACGAGAAAAATTTAAGTTTGAACCACAAAATATTTATAACTGTGATGAATTAGGATGTACTACAATTCCGGATTGTCCTGAGGTATTGGCCAGTAAAAAAGCTAAGCAGGTTGGTCAAGTTACTTCATCAGAGAGGGGCACTTTGGTGACAGTTTGTTGGGCAATCAATGCAATTGGAAGCGTTATTCCACCCTTTTTTATATTCCCTCGTATCAAATATCGAGAAGAATTCGTTTCTGATGGCCCAGAAGGTTCTAATGGGGATGCTTATTCAACAGGATGGATGACTGCTAGAAGCTTTCTAAAGTTTATGGAGCATTTCAAAAAAATATAGCAACGCGTCACCAGAAAATCCTGTTTTGCTCATATTTGATAACCATGAAAGCCACGTGAGCATTGAAATTGTAAAATTTGCGAAGGAAAATGGGATTACATTGTTAACGCTGCCTCCCCATTGTAGTAACAAGATGCAGCCATTAGATGTGGTCGTCTATTCCCCACTTAATGTAAGATACAATGCTGCATTAAGTAACTGGATGATAAGTAATCCTGGAAAAACAGTAACAATTTACAATATTCTCACATTTATTAAATCAATAATGTCAGCAACTTTTAGCCAAGCAAATATCCTTAGTGGATTTAGAAAGTGTGGGATTCAACCGTTTAACCCTGACATATTTACTGAGGAAGATTTCTTATGCTCAGCTGTGACCGACAGAGACAATTCACACGGCGAAGTCCAACTAGATTTTTCCGGATGTTTAGCAGAAGATTCGTTAGCAATTCCATCTACTTCTGGTGTTACAGCAACAGGAATTAAGCAAACTCCCCCTAATCAAATCGCTGTAAATTTGGAAAATATAAATGAAAACGCACGCAACGAAATTCCATCAACTTCTGCTATTACAGAAGCAGAAATCGTGCAAACTACACCTGAAAAGATGGTTGTAAGTACGACAAATATAAGTAAGGACATGCCTACAAATACAGGGTGGCCCATAAGTCCTTTGAGCTGGAAAAAAGGAATAAAACCAAACTAGTTACATTATGAAGAATCATTATATTTTGTTATCATCTTTATTGAATGGGAATTATGTTTTAAAAATCACATCGTCTAAATGCAATCCATTACGATCACGGCACTCATATAAACGACGTCTAAAATTGTCGATGACTGCGCGGCAAGTCAACACTGTAATGCTTGCCATTTCTCTTCGGATATTTTCTTTCAGGACATCAACTGATCGCGGAGTGGTGTCGTACACTTTACTCTTGAGGTAGCCCCATAAAAAGAAGTCCATTGGGGTCAAATCTGGACTACGTGGTGGCCAGGAAATGTCTCCTCTTCGAGAAATTACTTTGCTGGAAAAAAGTTGAGAGACGACGGGGATAGAAGTGTTGGAGGTGTTGAAACCAGGTCTGTTGTATTATAGCCTGGAAAATTCTGCAACGCTGGTGTCAAAACCTCTTCTATCATTGCTACATACCGCTCCGAAGTAACAGTTAATGCGCGACCTCTGTCGTCCTCAAAAAAATAAGGGCCTACGATGCCATGCGCTGGCATAGCAGCCCAAACTGTAACTTTAGGACTGTGTAAGGGCTTCTGATGCTTACGCCTTGGATTTTCGGGGCTACAATAACGGCAATTTTGTTTATTTACATACCCGTTTAAATGGAAGTGAGCCTCGTCCGAGAACAACACATTATTGAGCGAAGAAAATCGATTCAACATTTCATTCGCAAAGTTTAGTCTCTGAATAGCGTCATTATCTTTTAATTCCTGCACTAACTGAATTTTGTAAGCGTGCAGACGTAAATCTTTCCTTAAAATCCGCTGTAAAGATGTTCTGGGTACGTTTAGTGCACTGGAACGCTTACGAGTAGACTGGGTAGGATTTTGATGAACAGACTGTGCCACAATGTTGATGTTTTCTTCAATACGAGTTGTCCTTGGTCGACCCCACCGCTGTTTATCTAACGTCGAACCAGTCTCTTCGAACTTAGCAACCCAGTTCTTAATCGTTTGAGCTGTTGAACACTTTGTAAAATTGTGTAAATTGTGGTATTCTCGATATTTACGCCGCGCAATGGTTGCCGAATCATTATTTTGATAAAACGCGCGCACACAAAAAGCACGATCCGCTAAAGTGAAACACTCCATGGCGACTGAATTCCCAGACACTGAAGATACTGCCCCCACCTCGCCCGCGCCGCTCACGCTCACCCGTTAAATCTTATTCAAATTTGAAATTTCAAAGGACTTATGGACCACCCTGTACATTTGATAATACACCCAAAAATACACCATCTAAAGCTACATCCTCTTCTCTCATAACACCTGAGATAATAAG